AGGGCCAGATAAGGACAGGAAAAATAGTCTTTCTGGAGCCTAATGGATTGTTCCAGGATGATGCCTAAATTCTCCAAATAATTTAACACAGAGAGCTGGGAAATAGCTTAATGAGAGTCCCCAGGCCTGACTATGAATATGGGTTGGGGTCAGAGTCTGGCACAATTCCTGATTCTGGCTACCTTTCTGTGTAATCAAAGTTCTGAACTGCCCTCACCTTCCATGTGCCCTCACTTGGCCCCCTCACAAAGCACAAGTGAGGAGCTCACTAAGTGAGCCCACGAAGGGTGGCCGGCCAGAATCCGAGGGATTTACACAAACCCCTACCCAGCACTTGGGGCAGCCAAGATCTGCAGAATTACTTCCAAGCAAAACACCGTATTTATTGGGCATCCTCAGTTTAGTTTCCCAAAAGAGCTGCCTGCGAGTCAGACTTTCTCAAAGGAATAGAGCACCCCCTGCTGGGTAAATCGCATCGCCGTTAAGCTGTCCACTACCAAGCACCAACATCTGAAAATACACCGTTAATGAATTAACCTCGTGTAATACCCAGAAACAACAGTATGAGTCATAGTGATAAAATTGTGAGTTATAGGAGTTATATATGGACTTGGTAATAAGTGGATTTTTTAAATGTTTCATGACTCCCGAGTTCCGAACAATTTTTTTTTTAGATCTTTATCTCAATTATGGAAACGAGGTAAACATTTTCAAGTACTAAATGTTCCAGTAGGATTTCCTACCATTTCAGAGAGGAGTGGTCACAGAAGATCTCACAGGGGAGGCTGCATGGTCTAGGCAGAGGACATGGGTTTGGAGATCAGCCAGCCTAGGTTGCAATCCATTTACTACTGGAGTGGTTTCAAGTCGGAACAAGTTGTTCGGTTTTGAGTTACCATCTCGTGATCACGAGGACAATAATATCCACCTTCAAAAGTGGATGTGAGGACTGGATCCTGTGCCTGAAGCACTCAGAGGCGCTCAGTTAACTGTGGGTGGCATTGTTACTGTTACTCTATCATTAAGTGGGTCTAATGGGCTTCAAAGGATGGGCAGCTCCTGAATGCAGATCTTACCTTCCCAGGGGGCAGGGACTGCATCTGGAGGCCTGCATCTGGCTCAGAGAATTTGCCCCTGGGTCACAAGGGCAGTGCTCACACTGGGCACTCCAGTTCCTTTTGAACCCCACAACCATGATCAGGGTGCTGGCTTCATGAAATATACTTCTCACTGGGCCCATCTGGACAATTCTCCCTCTAAGAGATACCCCTGGTCCCTCTAATTCCACCTCTGTCTTGCTAGCTGAAGCCACCTTCATCTCTCTCGAGCCAGTGCAAAAGCTCTTCTGCCGTTCCACCTCTGTTCTTAGCTGCTCAAACCCAGGGTAACTTCTATTTGATAAAACAAACTCCGATTGGGGCCGCTCCCCTAGCCCCCCCAGCTTACCTGCCTATCTTGCTTGTAAGGCAAGTCTCGCCTCTGGGCTTTTTTGCAATTCGCTCTCCCTGCCATCGATCCTCATCCCCTAAATTCTTCCTTCCAATCCTTTGGGTGTTGGCTCATACACTCAAGGAAGGTATGAGAAATAGCACACTTTCTTATTTTCTTCAAAGCAAATTAAATTTTTTTGGCCTCTGCTGTGCTGCAGCAGAAATTAAATCTGTGGTCACTAGGGTGTTTCCTCCTTTTAGGGTCTCACAAGCATTTGGGATGTTCATGAGTGACCTCAAAAGTGGGCGAGGACCTCTGTTCTTCAGCTTATCTGGGTCATGGCTGCTATCCTCATGGCCAGTTCTGAGGGGCTCTGGAAGGAGGTGGCTCCAATGTTTGGGGGTCTTTGCCTAGGCTTGAAAACACCCCAAAATCACGAGCCTGTGAAGCTCATCTCATTGGGTACCACCAGCAACTGGGGCACAGCTTTCCACTACTCTTGAGAGGCTCCTCCTCTCATTCCCTCCCTGGCTTCCCAAGCAAGGGGTAAAGTTGTTTTTGAACTCATCTGTTCCCTCTGTTGCGAACAAGAAGTTCGAAGGACCCAACCACTCGGAGTAGGAAAAATTCATAAACAAAATTAATATTTGAAGTTATGTGCTATAAAGGCTACTGTTACAAGGTCTCACCGTGATTATCCAATCTAAGTCAGGTCTCCCAGTCCCACTCTCTACACGCTTTGGTGTAGGGCCGCAGTGTTGGGGCCCAGTCTGGTCTGTCGGTACACCCATCTCTGACTACTGGCTCTGTGTTGGCTGCCAAGAGTTCATGGTTGCACTGTCCTCCGGGTAACCTCGTCCCCTGGCAACCCTAGGGTATGTCATCCCAGGGGGCGGTGGGAGGGGCAGAACCAACGAATGTACATTGCACACTGAATACAAAGGCCTAGTCACTTGCCTCAAGGTGGGGAAATGTGACATCACATTCCGGAGCACCTATGGAACCTGGCTGAGGCTCGACTTCAGCCTGACACTCTATCTTTGCTCAGCTTCCTCCTCTGCTCTAGCCTGTTTCCCTCACAGGCTCCTCCCGAGAAGCACAACCTCACGAAATGAGACTCGGCTTCAGGCTTTGCTTCTAGGTACCCAACCTAAGTGACATCCCATTATTGCCCTTCCCCAGCACGTGTCGCAATTGAAAAGCATAAACGTGTAGAACTATTGGCTTGATGCTCGTTTCCCCCACTAAAAAGAAGCCGTACTTCTGTTCACTGCTGTGTTCCCAACACCAAGTGAGGTGCCTTTTACAGAGGAAAGCGATGCACGGTTTTGAACTGGACGCTGCATGAGCACAGCCTATCGAACCTTGCTCTGCAGACTTTCCTCTGGGTGCTACGCTACATTTGCTTGAAAAACCGCCTTGCAACAGCTGCCTAGATGGCCATCATCCCCAAGCCAGTCCTAGATAGATTCCAAAGCTGCAGTGGACAGTGTGGCCCAGGTTTGGTCACCTAATTCCTGACACAGTGAGCTGTGGTTTTTGACACCACATCACAGGTCAAACTTGGTGTGGGGGGACAGTTCTTAGATGAGGGTATTATAAACCAAGCAGATACATCAACTGCTCTCTATTTTTCAGGCATCATACTCTGATTCAATGGAAATTAAGACAGCTTTCACATTTTACATCTACCTATATCCCTGGGAAAGGCTGGATTCATATGAACATGCCCTAGATTCCTAGATGTCAGCGTCTTAGCTATTGCATACCTCAAGGGAAGTTGTAGTAAAACCCTCATTTAATTAGAATGTGTAGGAACCGTGGCATTCCAGGTACTTGCATTTTCTGAAAAACTTTTTCTTAGTATACATTTTTTCTGAACATTGTAATTCTCTTTTCTATTGGGTTTTCTGTCTTTTGTTATTGAGGGGCTGGGACTTGGGGTCTTTATTCTGAGATGAATGACTTGTAGGCAAAACACTGATGCACAGGGAGATTAGCCTGGATGTGTCTGGATTACAGGAGAGTTGCCACAACCCCATTTCTGATTGAAACCCTAAAATCAGCTCATTTGTGATACACTTCTTCCTAAAAGCTAGGTAAACAAAAAGACCCCATAAAAAAGGAGAAGAGGGGTGCCTGGGTTCAGTTGGTTGGGCATCTGCCTTTGGCTCAGGTCGTGATCCCAGGGTCCTGGGAGGGAGCTGTGTCAGGCTTCCTACTCAGCGGGGAGCGCACTTCTCCCTCTCCCCCCACCCCACCTGCTCCCCAACTCATGTGCCGGCGCTCAAATAAAATCCTAAACAAAAACAAAAACAAAAAAAAGCAGAAGAGACACTTCAATTATTCAGTGTTTCTAGTTTTTGAATGAGGGATATAGAAATATAAGTCAGGGCCTCTTCCCACAGTTCACAACCTAGGTAAGAAAACGAGAGACACCACTTAACAGAGGCAAATAATTCCAGGAGACAAATGTCCATGGATGTGCTTTTCAGAATATGAGTTTTTTTTTTTTTTAAGATTTATTTTTATTTGAGAGAGAGAGAGGGAGAGAGAGCGAGTACGGGGAGGGGCAGAGGCGAGAGAGAAATCTCAACCAGGCTCCCCGTGGAGCATGGAGCCTGACCTGGGGCTCAACCCCTGGACCCTGAGATCATAACCTGAGCTGAAATCAAGAGTGGACGCTGAACCGACTGAGCCACCTAGGCGCCCCTCAAAATATGAGTTCTTATATAAATGTGTAACTGCACACGGGCTTCATGGTGTTTCCGTTGTATCTGAAAGGACTGTGAAAATACGAAATCTTGTTATTGGATAAAACTAGTGGTCCAGCCAGCCAAAGGTCCTTTCCAGTGGCCCCTTATTAACTTGTAGAGAGCAGAAGTACCTGCCAGATAACCTTTTTTTTTTTTTTAAAGATTTTATTTATTTGACAGAGAGAGCACAAGCAGGAGAGAGAGGGAGAAGCAGGCTCCCTGCTGAGCAAGGAGCCTGATGGGGGACTCGATCCCAGGACCCTGGGATCATGACCTGGGCTGAAGGCAGCTGCTTAACCGACTGAGCCACCCAGGCGTCCCCAGATAAGCTTTAATCTGTGAATTTATCCAAATTTTGAAAACGCCACAGGGGATCTTAGGAATCCCAGCCATCAGCGAGTGGGTTATCCAGACATCCATTCTACCTGCAGGTGCTATACACCGCTGCTCAGAGGGAGGCATGTGAGAAGTTAACACTCTCCTTACATCTGGCTTCCCTGTCTTTGCCCACCCCTCTCATGTCTTCAGTCACCTGTGTCACGGGACACAAGGAAGTAGCTGCAATGGGTTAAACTCTGACAGTAAAGCGAAATCAGAATGAAAGGCAAATGCTGAACCAGTCACATTCAAACACAAGCTGGTGAATGAAGAACTTTTGGTTCAAAGGGCCAAATACTCTGCATTCCTGAGAAATCTCAATCAATTCCTCATTCTGGTATTTCCACATTGCATTTTGCTGTCACAAAAACTAGGTAGGTGTACATTTTTGAGTGTAGATGTATCACTTCAAGATCTGAATGAGGAGACGAAAGAAAACATTTTGTATCTATGTATTTTTCAAAAATCTGTCCATGAAGGAGGAGCCAGCTATTAGTTTCCTATAGGGGGAACATTCTCATGGAGATACTGTAAGGCCAAGTCGGTCCACTTCATTTCTTGTTCTTTAACCGATTCTGTGGTGCCACCGTTGTCCTGTTCAGGTTCAGGAAGCTCATTCTGCAAAGGTACAATGGACATTCAGAATGCTGGTATACTCTGCATTAACAAACCCCTTAAACTCAAGAGCACTTAGAATTCAAACCTGTGAGTTCTTAGAAACAGGCAGCATAACTGACAGAAGAAAGAACTAGGATAAAAAGATCGACCCTTTGTCTCCTCTTTGGCAATGAGAGGAAAAAGTAGCCATCACCTCATAGGACAGCTATGAAACTAAATGAGGTAATTGAGGTCAAGTGCTCACCACTGTGGGCGGCCATCTGATGCTCAATAGCTGCTATTATTCCTAGAGGCTAGGATCACCGAAAAGACCCAATACGGAGTCCTTTTTTGGGAGGCTGCTTTAATTGAATACCACATTTGCTGGAATAGTCCTTAAGCACAAGAAATGTTATTAAAAAAAAAACCTATCCTGTACCCAGCATGCCTATATTCTTATGGAGGTGAGTGGAGAGCACTGCAAATGTAACATAATAGAGGAGATGTCCCCCTAGTGATGGAGCACAGCAACATAAACCCTGGTAAATGACCAGATCCTCCCCTGCCAGTAACTGTCGTAGAATGGTAAGCCATGGGCCTCACTTAGTATGGAATCTGACGTATAGTGTTTTTTTCAGCTTGAGATTTAATTTACATATAACATTGTGTGAGTTTAAGGTGTACCACACGATGATCTGACATATGTATACTATGAAATGATTATCACAATAAGGCTAGTTAACACATTCATCACCTCATTATAGTTAACTATGTTTTTATGTGTGTGGTGAGAACTTTTGGTAGTTTCCTTATATTTTAAATTTAAATTTATTACTACCAGGATTCTGCTTTGTCCCAGAGTTTACTGATACCAATATATTTCAATTATTTGAATTTATACTTTTTTGGGGGGCAGCAAACTGTTACTCAATATTGAGATTTTCAATTTCCCACTGATTCCAATTTGCAGTATATGAATGTTTTTCTCCTTCAAAATTATGCTAGTATATATAAAATGATTTATGGTATGTACAAATATATCTGAACCGCACACATGTTGTTTTTTAAACATAATACTGAGATTCAAACATATTTGTACAAATTGCAAAGACCTATCATTTACTGTAAAGCAATCATACATTCAAACTTAAAGAGAAAGTTTGGTTCCAGTAATTATTCATAGCTCACAAAGCACAAACAAGTCCTTGGTTAGTGAATTATTTGATTGACAGACAAGCAACTTAATTTCATCTTATCTGTGGTACATGTTCTTTTTTTTTTTTAAGATTTATTTATTTTGAGAGAGAGAGAGAGTCTGTGTGTGTGTGTGTGTGTGTGTGCGCGTGCGCCCAAGCAGACTCTGAGCGCACTGAGCCTGGAGCCCAATGCTGGACTCGATCCCAGGACCCCAAGATCATGACCTGAGCTAAAACCAAGGGTTGGACACTCAACCGAGCCACCCAGGTGCCCCTCTGTGGTGTATGTTCTAAAACAGTATCTTTCATTTGGTCACTACTGTCTTTTACACCGAATGCCAAGATGAAAAAATGTGTATGTGCTTGGAAACCAACACAAAGTATCATAAGGTATCATAAACACAACCATCAATTATGGTTTACTGCAAATTGGCCTCAATTGTTGGCAGTTACTCCCATGAAAAGGCAGAGTCATATTTCCCCAATATCAGATTGGGACTGACCGAGTCACTTGCTTTGGCTAGCAGAGAGCAGCCGCAGTGTCCGTGGGCCCGTTCTTGGCTAAGCTCCATGAAGCCTCACAGTCCTTGTCCTGCTGCTCTTGGAACCCTGAGATGGCCATGTGCAGTCTAGGCCAGTCTGCTGGGTAATGAGGCTTTGACCTCGCCACGTCATCATCCCAGCTGACCTGCTTACCTACCAGACATGTGAAAAGTCTCCCCATCCCCCAGCCTCCAGCTGGCCTGCTGACCGCCTGCAAAACACCAGCAAGTCCAGCAGGGATCAGCCGAGCTGGCAAAGACTGGAAGACCCTCTCAGCTGAGACACAAAATCATGAGATAAACAGCTGTTGTTTTAAGTCACTCGGGGGAGATTTGTTAGGCAGCAACAAAAGCTAACCAGTGCACTCTGAGAGTCACGAGACACAGGAAAAGACAAAATAACAAGAAGGCCAGGCTACAGCCTGGATGTTAGCATGGAAACGTCCTTCTCCCTCAACTCCTTCCACCGCAGTGGTCCCCAGATCCTGCCATAAGCCTGTCCAGAATCCAGCAGTTCCCCTCCACTCGCGTGCCTTTGTTTAGGCCTGCCTCCCTGCCTACACTACTGTGATCGCTTCCTCATTGGTCCTTCTGCCCTGTCACTTGCCCCTTTCTCCATGGCACACATTCCCTAACAATTCCCTTCGGAACTGACATTTTAAAACTCAAATTTGAGTGTGGCAGATTTCTATTTTGAAGACCATGCATTCCTGGTTATCCTCAGAATGAAGTCTAAGTATGGCATTGTACACTCCTCTCAAAATCTGGTCCAAGCCCATCTTTTCTGCCTACCTTAGATGACAAATATAGTCTCTGTCCACACTGAATGTCTCACCATCTCCCAAAGCCTTTCAAAACTCTGAGCCTGTGCACATCTGTCCCCTCTGTTGGGAGTGCCCTTGTCTACCCCCACTAAATTTCTGGCCCTCCCTTATGACCAGCTTAAATATTACATTCTCTCTGAAGCCTTTCCTGATACTCAACAGGCATCAGCCACCTCCTATCCTATGTTGCTATTCACAACCCGGCTTGTAACATTTATTATTGTAATTACTTATTTCTATGTGTTGCCTCTCTAGATCCCCAGGGGCAGAAACTGTAGCTTACACTCACATAGTCTTATGGCACACAGTAGGCTTCAAAGAAATGCCTGACAAGTGAAAAAACAAACAAAAGTTTACAAGACAGGATCTGGAGCCTTCACACAGACCTAAGTGTGAAGTCCAATTTAACAGCTACCCGGCTTTGCACAAGTTCCCCTCTCTGATCCTATTCCCTTCTGTAAAATGGAGATAACACCACTGCCCTTGCAAGGCTGTTTCAACAGTTAGAGAGAACGTATGTCAAATTTCCACCTCAGTCCATGGCATAAAACTGGTATTAAGTGGCAGCTAGAATTCTCACTGTGCGCTCCCTTTTGACTATTTTTCTAAACTTGAAATAAGCTGTGACTTATTATCTGTTATGTGTATTATTCACTGCGCATATCATCTCTTAGTCTTAAATGAAAATATGGGTGAGCGGAATTTTATTTCTCAGTAAGCAGCAGCAGTCTACTTGGAAGCTGCATTTTATTAACAGCTCTTCTCAGGGTACTTGGCAGGCTCTGAAGAAAAACAGTCTCTGGAGTCTCTTCTCCTTGTTTTTTTGTTAGGCCTCTATGACATAAATAGGATTTAAAAAACATTTATTAATGCAAAACTTTTAGATCATTTATTACAGGAGGTTCAACAAATTCCCTGCAGGAGAGTTCTCTAGAGGTCAGGAAAGAAAAGAGTGTCCCAGGACCCCTTCGGTCTAAACGCAAGAGAAAAGCCAGGTGTCTTCCAAACATTTTCCAGGGAAACTAGGATAGGTGTGTGTTCCAAAAATATGTCTCTAAAAATAGCAAACAATCAACCACAGGTAGACAAGTAAGAAATATAGTGTAAATGCCATTGCTTCTCGTTCCTCTCCATCTTTTGTACATTGGACTCTCATCATCTGGTTTACTAGCTTTGGTGTGGCAGACAGAACATGGCTCAGAAGTCTTGAGTCCAGTCCTGGCATGACCCCTAACTGAGCTCATCATATCAGCTCTCTGAACCACAGTTCTCTTCAAATAAAAAGTCAAACTATCCAGTGTCTTCTAGAGTTAGAGGACTCCACAGCTTTGATTTCTTTGCCCTACTAGTTTGTCCATTGACATCCAACTTCTACTAGGGCTCAACAGCTCATACCTTTAACCCACCATCCTTGGCACAAATTATAGTTTACCAGTGGTATTGCAACATCCTCATACGGCAGCTTGTCTTCTCGCCAAGCATCGTCAATCAAGTCCAAGATCCTTCCATCTCTCTGTACCTCACTGTCCATTCTCCTGCAGCTTTGATCTTGTCAGATCTGTAAGCCAAAGAGGTTATTTCTTAAGCATGAAGACTGAGAAGGTGATGTAATCTAGCATTAGGATTCCCCAGGCTTTTTAGCCTGCATGTATCTTTTGGTATAACATCACCCGGGGAAATGGGAAAGACTCATCTTCTCATCTGGGTCAGGTAACAATCTATTTCTAAGATCACAATCTCTCCCTACTGCCCTTCCCCTCCCCCCCATGGATGCTTTATAGCACATATAGGACAGACAGCAGATATAGCCTAGTTGACAGACCAGTGTCACAGTGTGACAGAGGCCTTGTGGACAAGGCCACAGTGTATCTAGAATATAGCTTTTCTCTCCTAATTTGCATATTCACCTTTCCCTGTTCAGGATGCCTTTGATGAATCCCTGATTAATAACCAAGTCTCCTCGCTGTCCCCTTTAGCCTTTTCCTGCACTACTTTTTACAAAAGTCTCTACCTGACTTGGCTTTAATATTAGCATTCTTAGGCACAGGAGCTAAATGAACGTACTAAGATACTGAACTGGGCTATGCAAAGTGACCAACTACAGAGCTGACAGAAATCCTCAGCTGAATTTGTAAAGGAAACTGCCTTTCTTAAAATAGTGCCCAACCCGAGTTCTGAAAGGGGCACCTCCAGGTGAACAACAGTAGCAGGACCCCTTGCTGCTCATTTCTGCTTCCCTTTGGGGTTCCTTCCTCTGATTTTTAATGCTGTACTCCCTTCAATGCCTGGACCAAGTGGTCAAGATGTTACTTAGCTCCTTGGCCATGACTGACTCTCCATTTTTTCTCCTAAACAGCTGCAGCCAGCATGGAGGGTACCTCTGGATTTCCTCTTTCCTAGTTTGGGCTCTGCTGCTTCATCATGGGTTATCACTCTACTGTGTTCCCTGCCACAAAGCAGCCATCCCGATGGCCTGGAAGCCAGTGGCACCAAAGGCACTCCCAGTCACTCCTAGTTTCTGAGGCTGCGAACATTCATACAAGGAAGAATCTTTAGGGGTGGACTCCAACTCCTTCATACAGACCTATGCTTGGCCCCAGTAGTATGACTGCATCATAGCCCTAATGCCTGGGTAATAATTATACAGGTTGGGGTGGGATAAGAGTCTTACCCCCATAGTAAAGAGCCAGGCAAAACTGAAGCAGAAGGTGCCCAGCTATTTTGGTCACCAGTGAAACAGCTGAAGCCTAGATGTTTCACTCAAAAATTAATTCAGTACTACCCAGTGGATAACTCAAAACAAGTATAAGGATATTGTCTTTAGGAAATGTACACACAGTTCCAGTTATATTTTTGGAATCCCTGTCCTACAAGAACCCTTTTTCCTGTTGCCACTCCTTTGTTCCTGCTGCTCTGTCCCCTGGGATACCCTCCTCATTTTTCCAGCTGATCAGAACTAGCTAATTTTCCCAGTCACACACAGATTCCTCTGTAGTTTTTTCAAATCATTCCAGCTTCAGTAAGCATTCTGCCCTTGAACGTTTCCTTCTTGTCTTCATGATCCACCTGAAAAGTTAGGTAGTCTCTGTAACAGATTGCTCAGGTATCAGTGTCTACAATAATTATGTGTAAATTTTGCAGACTCTTTCCCAAAGATATGCTTTTGGAGCACATCGTTCCCAAATTTGGCCTCAATCTTTCTTCATTGTCTCTCTTCCAAACACCACTAACCCTGCCATACTTTCCAGCCTTTGCACTTAAAAGCCCTTTTTCCCCCCTCACTAACGCCTATTTTCCTTCCAAACTCTACACTGGTGTCAGCTCATCTGGTCAACATCTCATTTCCAGAGTCAGGCGCTAAGGTGCCTTCACTTTTCAGGGGCTGGAAGCGTGGAAAGCATCAAGACAGGCAACGTCCAGGACACGGCCACTGTCCCAAGCACTTGGCACACGCGACAGAATGAAACACTACCACCTTCCCGAGCAAACTTTTCTTACACAGTAACAGTTTCGATGCCCAGGACGCTCTTAACAATTCCTTTGTTTCCAGCTACCCTCCAGTCTAAAAAACTTGGTTCCCCGGTCGTCCCCCGCTGGCTGTGTGCTCCTAGACCCAGGGGGAGCTCGGTACCCATCCTTCCTGGGGTCCCTTAGTTCCCTGGGCGCAGCGCATGGTCCCAAATGGGAGCTTGTCACACAGCCCATTACATGGTTTTCCCAGACCCGCGGTGCGTGTGTTCCCCGGAGCAGCGGCACGTCTCATCCCATTCCTGAGCTTTGCAGTTCCGCAAACCTGTAGTTACGTGAATTAAACGGGACGGCCTCCTCCCTCGCTAAAATTGACCCTCGCAGGCCACCACCATCCGTGCACAGGCGTGGGACCACCCCAGTCCCGGCTTCCGGCTGCATATACCAAATGTGGACGCGGGGGAGGTCCAGAACCGCCACGCAATTGCCTTTCCGCCCTCCACGGCGTGCGGAAAGTGATTGTGAAGATGAAGTGAAGACAAAGACCTCCACTGACGGGAGCTGGGAAAGGGCGTCGCTGAGGAACCAACGCGTCCCCGTCCCTCCAAAACCAAGACTAGGGGCGCGGGAAAGCCTTACCCGCGCCGGACCCAGCGCTGCACCCGCTTCCACAAGGCTCCCTCTCAGCGTCACGTGACCCGCACGCCATTCTCACCGATCCCCGGATGTGGGTGAGCCCATTTGCTTGGGCGGAGGGGCGGTCTGGGAGGACGCTACTTCAATGAAAAGTGAGGGGGCAGTGGGCGGAACGAACGTGGCGACGACGGAGGCTGGACGTCGGGTCGGCGGGGACGCGCGTGCGCGCCCCCGCCGGAGGTAACGGCGGGAAGGCTCGGGGGCGCGCTCGCGG